CGCGTAACGCAATTGGGCACAACCAATCGCGACCCGCAACGTCTCTGGCACGTGAGACCCTTCCGAGCCTCCCTCTCTCCTAACAAATAAAGCAAACAGCAAACTGCCTGCCTAGTAGAGGAGCATACGCGGTAGTGAAAGACCCGGCCTGGTGACTTGCGTGCTTGTCCATCGACAAAGCATTCCAACAAGCCTCCAACATGACAGCATCCTCAAATGCCAGGACAGTCACGTGCGCCACTTGGCAACGAGCCACCCTCGTTTGCTCCGTCTCAGCTGAGATCGAACGGTGGACGTCACCGTAGAGAAAGTAGAGAAACCTGCGATGCAGGGGAACATGTAGTAGACTGAAAAGAGAACACCGGCAGCTCACAGGATGTTGATCGGGATGCGTGGTTCGGCCGTCAAACGCACGCCTGCGAGTGTCCGAAACAGCACCCACCTGTATGAGGTTAGACGGAAACGAACACCTGGCTGATGCTTGATGGTGAGATAGGCATCGGTCATTGCTAGATCTTCACCCGGTCGACGGAGATGATGGCCGCGCAGGGTCCCTGTGGTCCTGTGGAGTTTCCTAAGCAAGCAAGTGGTGAGGGCGTGTGATGTTTGTGAGCAGAAGAGGGAGGTTTGGAGTTTCAGGAGGGGACCCTTGCTTAATAAATCACTGCATAGTATCACGGCTCATATGTATGCAAAGTCTTTCTGGGGAGGGCGTGTGATGTTTGTGAGCAGAAGAGGGAGGGAAGTTTGGAGTTTCAGGAGGGACCCTTGCTTTTAATAAATCACTGCATAGTATCGCGGCTCATATGTATGCAAAGTCTTTCTGGGGAGGTAGGTACTACTCTAGTCAATTCATTTTAGAACCTACGATACCTATACCTATGAGGTAGGGCAGGGTAGGTAGGTACGGCTAGTCTACGATACCTTAGTCCAGTGGTCCACCTCAGTTGGTAGGTGGGGGAAGGAGGAGGGGGAGGAGGACAGACCGGGAGCCCGACAACTTTTCCTTGCTTCACCCTTATCGATAAGCCTGGAATGCCCGCAAGGCAGCCACCGCTAAGGCCAACCTATTTCAGCTAGCTTCCCGTCGTTACTTCGCATTGGAAGTATCTTTAATTCGCGTCATGGCAAATGGGACGTATTGAAGCGCATCTATTCGTAGTTTTCAAGAAGCCTTGCCGATAGAACGCCTTCAAACCATGCTGCATTGAATTCATACTTGTAAAAGAAAGACCTTTCAGCTGTTTCTTGCAAACAACGTCAACGTGCGCCAGGCTCGTCCATTTTGTGGCACTTTGAGTGCCACCTCCTGATCCACAAGAGCTGGACTATGCGTTGAGAGGTCAAACATTGAGCAGCCACACCGACCAATGACACACTTTTGAGGTCGAGGCAGAGCCCTAGTTCTACATTGTTCTTGACTCAATCATAGAATTCTTAAATGCATACATATCGATTCATTTTTGCCCTACGTAGATTGCATTCGGTTTTGCAAGTAATCGGTTCATGAAATAGGCAATGCAAATAGGAGAATGAGTAGTGCAGGACGGTAAGAGTATCATTCTTCAGAAACCTTCCTATAAGTAACTTCTTCTAGCCGTGGGCATGGCCTTAAAGGAGCCTTATTGTGTTATGAAGGGTGAAATCGGTGTATGTTGTATGGCCTAACTAACAAGACTTACATGGGCCAGCGGGCTGCACCTTAGGCACCAAAAAGAGGACTATTGATTGAGAACATTTTATTGTGTGGAATTGGTTACTGTATAGAGAGACAATAGTATTATGTCTTATTGTGTATCTTATAGTGTATTGAACAGAGTGATCTGAGCCAAATCTGATCAAAAAGATAACCTGCTTCTAATATGGTGGTGCACTTTGTAATACAAGTCGAGTTTTCTCTCGTATGTAAAATTGAGCAATGTAGATAATATTTGATACCTGGGCTAGTTTTATCATGCTCTAGATACAATCTCGGTGTTAGATCGTCCAGAACGACCACATGTATGGCTTTGAAGCAATTCTTTCTCTCAGATTCATGTCAGACTCATGTTACCATTCTTCTTACTCGTCGCATGATTGTAACTCCCAACCATTGGCTTGCGCGAGGCCCCTGTCAGCCCTCAGAAGACTGCCACATATGTGCTCAGCAATCCAGTCCGTCTTTCAACCAGCTATGATCAGGATTTATTTCCACCTCTAATGAGAGATTTCAGGTAAGTAATTGAGGATTAAACAAACTCCACCGTCCTATCTCCATTCCTGATGAACAAAGAGAAAAGGGTCGAATTGTAGACTAGAGCTGCAAGATGTTATAATTTGGCATCTCAGCCAGCACCTTTTCTCCCTTCATTTCCCACCTCGATGAACATTGGTCGGCAAGCAATGCTTTGTAGCGGACACTTCAAGCTTCCACAAAGCAGCTGTGACTTCAAGATGATCCAGAATCCTGATAGCAGGTTGAGCACTTAGGTCGCTTTGGCCCAAGCTTACCAACTTGCATCGATCTCGAGATAACTAGTAAGAAGTAATGCGAGTATTCAAGTAGCAGGCTTTTGTTGGTGCTGGAGCAACATATGATGAACTCAATGCTGTGGGTAACGATCATAGTTCAAGATCTGGCAAAGAACAATCAGCCTCTTCGTGAATCTTTCTTATCTGATCTGTAAAAGGTCCTTGAAAATGTTCCATGCCAGAGACAAGCCAGTCAGTGTCTTTAGGGCATTCTAGGGTGCTAAGGTGAGGCATATAAGCGTCACCAAGATTAGAACTATGGGCTCCATCAACGTGCTGTGAGTGATCCTCCAGGCCAGTGTCGAAGACGAATGGCATAGATACGTTTGGGCTGCTGACCGAACCTAGGTTGCTGCTCAAGAAGCTTTGCACTACTTGCAACAATCGTTGTTCCGTCCCATATTGCCTCGCGGCGGTCAGTCCCACAGGCATCTCATCTTGGAGGGCTCTAGATATTCTACTACGAAGATCATCCCAATTTCCTTGCAGAGCAGTGAGATATGTAGACAGAGAAATATCACCGGTCGAACATTTGACTGTGTTGGTGTCCGTTGATTGAGGGTGATCATAGTCTTTGAAATAGGGTTAGAGCTCACTCTCGACGTATAAAACTTTACCAATTTACTTACATGGCGAGGCAGGCAACTCGGCGGCGCCGAAAAGAATTTTGAAGACATCAAACCACCTATCGCTTTCGGACATGGTTATGTGCTTGCGTCGGGATTGTAATTGTGCAGCAACTGCCTCATCAAATTCATCTGGGAACGGCCTCGGGACTACTATTGCACAAGGAATCTCCGCTCTCACATGACTGTCAAGACCTTTTTTATCGGAGAATGTTTTGAAGCACCTGGGACATGCGTGCCGCTTTCGTTGATGGCGCCTATAGAGATGTTCCCTGGAATGGTTCGTCAGAGTAGTTCTACCACATTGCTATCGACAGATGACATACTTCATGCGATGGACGGTTTGCCATCCCGGCCCAGGACATGTCCTCCAAGATTTGTACTTTTCAGGATCTTTCTTATAATAAGGACACGCGAATCGTTTTTCCAAGCCTTCCTGTTGTAATATCGAACTCTTTTGCTTCTTGTTCGGCTTTTTTGAATCGCTCAAGTCGTCCAGCTCTGTGCCCTCATTGCTTGACGCAGTATTTCGTTTGCGTTTATGGGCCGGGGTCCCGTTTCGTTGTTGCTCAGTGTGGCTAGCACCTGTGTGTAGGACTTGTTCTTGGTCTTCCGCACTATGGCAAGCAGTGACATGTGGCGTCGAGGCTTTCGGTGATTGACCACGAGGAAGTCTCGATATAACTGGTCTGGATCTGTGTCTATCGTCTCCTGCTTTGGGTGGACACTCAAGTCTTCCCCCTGGTAAGCGCTCACGACTGCGCTGGTAAGGCTGCGTGATAAGTTCCACGCTCCTTGTGGAGCGGCAATCGAAAGATCGCTTCCGTCGGACCGGCCCACCATGCGGGACCGCTACCGCCATAGTTTGCGTCACTTGTGTAGACATTGAATCAATAGTCCCAGGGCTTTGCAGGCAATTCCAGAGTTGCTCTGCAAGCTAACGAGGCTGTGGGAAGCGCCGTATCCGTATCATCTCGAGATGTTGGCAAGATGGAGGGGGTCCATGCATGGCTGATGGTGCAGCCACGAAGCGCAGATGACAGGCAAGGCTATGGGCTAGACACAGACTAACATGGTCTTATTGGCGGGGTGGGTGAAACCGCAGCAAGGCTTGGGTGGCCACGAGGCTCCACTGGCAGGCTAGGCGGAATTCAAGCGCCGATTGCGACGTCGCATAATTATTACACTTGCGCCTGACATCTTCAATCCCCGTGACGCCTGCCTTGCGGCTGATGTGTGTACGATCCGTGGCCGTTGCCTATCTCGCAGCCTTGCAGCCTCGTTCATGTATTGCGGCTGCAATACGCGCGCGTGCTATGTGCATAGTAAGTGGTTGCAATTACAGTACCCTTGACGCTCCTCAAGTCGAGCCTGCCTAACTATGATGGTGCACTGCGTAGCAACTCGATATCAGAGGCCTATTAGACTTCTACATTTCGGGCGCCTCCGAACAATAAGCGCTTCATCTACTCGATTTCCTCCCGGTTACCTTACAACGAGATCAATACTCAAGTCATTCTGATGCGACCGATTGCAACTTGGAGACAGCTGAGAATAGAGGCCTGGCATTGACAAGAGGACAATGCTTGCAGCACAATAACCTCGCTGCAATTGTTCCCATACGTGAAGTTTCCTCATACTTGGGATATAGAGCGAAATCTCTTGCATGTCTAGCAAGTATGCGTGATTCACCGTCGATCGACATACAGCCTTTGATGGAATGAAACACAAGCTGTCTTTGTTGGTGTCGGTAAATCTGATGATAGCTGATATCTAAAGCATCATCATGGCAAGCAAGTACCACAGGTACCTAGCAAGGGACTATACTAGAGTCTATCTATGGCAGACAACACCCAGTCCTGTTCAGAACGTGTACCGGAAACTAGGGTCGTCCTGGATTGGCTGGCCGCCTTGTTCTGCCTTCTTGTTCAGTCTCTTAAAATGCCACCACATTAGGCACACCAAGATAATCAACAAGAACTGTGTGGCCACGGCACACCAAACTCCCGTTCGGTAGGTTGGATACTCGCGCTCCATGAAAGTGCAGGAGGCGTAAATGCCTACCGAAGCTGGTGTCAGCAAAGGTACAGTGGGCACTTGAGAACCATACTTACCACCAAGGGCGGCGAAGAGCATCTGCACGCCACTTGCGACAGATCTTCGACTGTTTGAGCGGACATTGTTTGATTGGAAAGCAATGATCGTGGGCAAGTTCCCATTACAGCCGCTCACGCCTAGGAAGACACCTTTCCTTTTGTTTAGTCAAGCGTTCAGATCTTTGGAGCACAGCCACTTACCAAAGTATCTAACCCCATTGTTGTGGTGGTATGCGGTCAAGAGCAGACCAGTCAGAGTGATAGCTGCATTGAGCACCATCCACGGCATTCTGAGGTGCGACCTGTCGGCGAACCAGGCTACCGCGTATGTCCAGATCATGCTGAAGAGGTATGGTGGGGCACACAGAAGGAAGACGACTGCGGTTGAGTAGCCCAGTGTCTTGAGAATGATCTGGATGAAGTACGCAAATGCGTAGATCGGCGCCGAGCATGTGAGGAACATGAAGCCATACACCCACAGCTCCCATTTCAGCACCAAGTGGAAGACCTTCTCCAGCGTCAATTTGTCGGGGTCCGCATCGCCTCTGTCACGCTCAACGCGGTCTAGAATGACCTCAAGTTCTTCCTGGGTGAAGTTCGCTTTCTTTCCTGTTGCAAGCATCTGATCTGGGAAAGGCAGAACAAAGATGTACCCGATGAATGCAAATCCCAATGTTAGTGCACCTTCGATGCTGTTCAATGTCAGAAGTCGTTGGCTAGGGCGACGCTTGACCTCTCACATGAAAATCCATCTCCAACCTGCGATGCCATGCGCGCCATCCAGTTTGATGATTGCATATGCCAAAATGTTGCCGAATGCCGACACGAAAAGATTGATCATGTACCAGAGTGCCATTCTACGACACCCTGTTAGCGTCTGCTCCGTCCGTTACCACGCTCTAGTGATGGTAATTACCTCTGTTGGACCTCGTATCGTTGATACCAGCTGCTAAGCAGATACATGCAGCAAGGTAGGAAGCCCGCCTCGAAGATGCCGATCAAGAGGCGGCAGACGACGATGACGCGCCAGTCATTGGCAAAGCCCATCCCAAGCATCACACCCCCCCAGCTGAGGACGAAGGCATTAAGCTGCAACTTCGGCCCGACGAATCTCAGAGAGAGAGTTGACGGCATCTCGAAGAGAAAGTACGTGATGAAGAAGACGAGCAATGCAATCGAGTAGCGGTTCCCGATATTGAAACCCAGATCTTCATTCATGCCTGCTACTCGAGCATTCGACAGATTCACTCGGTCAAGACCTGCAATAGAATACAGGATACCTAGGATGGGGATGAGCCTGATATCGACTTTCCGCCTGTAGCCAAGTGTTAGCCAAGTGAATACATCTGAAGTACCATGCACCCGCCCCCATCATCAAGTCGACAAATTTATTTCTTCCCCGGTGCAATCCACGCAACACTTACACAATCCTGGCTTCAGCCCGGCGTTGTTCTAATGGAATTTCATCTTCGCGAATGCCGTGGGCCGCCGCCTTCCAGTCGGCGACAGTGTCCACCTGCTCTACATCCGGTGCCGTGTCGGCTTCCTTATCGCCGAGTGGGCTTGCATGCGACATCACGTTCTCTATTCCGTAACAAATGCAAATGACGGTAGCAGGTCTAGCAGTCGTTCCATCTTCGTGTGGACCGTGACGGAATACTTATACAAAGCGGTCAGCACAAGTCAAGCTCTTGCTCTCTACGTGGACATCCCCCGGATTTCGGCCCCGCAAGACGTTTTCCTGGGGTAATTGAGCTCACTATCAGCCAGCTCCCAGCACCGGCGTCTTGGCTATGGTCGCTAGAGTTGCATCATTTCGATCAACCCCGCCTCCAAAAAGCACTGGATCAGTATTACACACATCAGCCTTCGCTCGGCTTGAGCCTAAAGCGACATGATGAGCCCCAAAGTTGGCGTCATAGCCAATAATTCTTCTAAGCCGCATGTTTTCAAGAACATTCAGGGCGCTAGGCGAGCCGTTCCCGGCATTCAATGGCCGAAGATGTCATCTGACGGCACCTAGTGTTAGTGGGTGCCTGACAGCGGATGGCTGGAGGTTAGTGGGCCCGGAAAAGCTTTTCAGAATGCTTGCCGTACTTCAAAAGAGTGATGAATTTACTGGAAATGGATCGTGAGATCTTGTAAAATACCTGTTAATTAAATGATGAATTATCAGTCGATGGACGCAAAGAAGGAAACACCATATCTCGATAGTAGAAATCGTCGCTCATCGCTAAATATTAGGGCTTAATCGCCGCTGATACCCAGCCATCGATAGTATGCCTCGAGCTTCGGCTCCCTTCCTAGATATTCTCGCAAGGTCTTCATCTCCGGCTGGCTAGCGCCAGGCTGCAACAGCATCTCGCGATATTTTCTTCCAGCAGATTTGCTCATGGTGTCGGCCTCAAAATTACTTTCAAATATGTCAAGAGCCCAGGCTCGGCCCCTGAAAAGCAGTCAGTCAGCTTCTGAGATGTCATCTTCGAGAGAAAACAAGATTGCTTACATCAGGTATGCATAATACCCGGCATCATAATTACTCATTATAGCACGGTAGCAGCTTTCGCCATGACACCAGTCCCACCCTTCTCCAAGTGCCTCGCCACCTTGAAGAGATGTCAATTCGTTACGCATCTTGTTGAAGACCTCGCAGAAGTTCATAGAACCAAGCTCCTCTGATGAGTCCTGGTTGTGGACAAACATGTCGTAAAGAGCAAAGTGCAGCTGTCTTGCCGTTCCCAATGGTTTATTGGACAGCTTCAGGCCGAGCACGCCCTTGACAACCTCATCAGGGAGCTGTTGTGGCGGCTGAGGCATGTCAGAGTTGCTCTGCTTAGCTTCCCACGCAGCCTTGTACTGAGGTGATACGTATGAGTAATGGCACGACACGTCTTTGATGTGATGAGCTGTCCAGAAGAAATGCTCAAACGTGAGGCTTGGTGTCTCAACAAAGTCTCGATCAACCTTAGAACCATGGAATCGACCGAACTTCGTGAGCGAGAGCAGGTTGTGCATGGCGTGTCCAAGCTCGTGGAAGAGACTCCTGACATCATTCAAGGACATCAAACTCGGAGTCGTATCCGATGGCTTTGCATAATTCATGACAAGTGCAGAATTGGGATATTTACGGGTACCGTCTTCCCTTATAAAGCCCTATACAGCGTTAACAGATGAACACTAGATCGGAGAAGGGGAACCTACTGGCTGTAGACAATAGTGACCCGCATGTGTGTACTTCCCTGGACGAGGATGCAGGTCAAAGTAAAGATACCCTAGAAATTTTTCGTCTGCAGCAACATCCCATAAGACGTACAATTTGACATCTTCCTGCCAAACCATAGTGTCTGCTGATCTCCCAGTGATTTGGTGATATCGTTCAGGCGTAACCTGCTCGAAATGAATATCAAAGAGTTTCTCGTAGATTTTCAACATTTCCGGGAGAACCTTCGATAATTCAAAGAACTCCGATACATATTTGAGATCTAGTGCTGCCACACTTTCATCCCGGAGTCGCTCATAATATGCCTGGTCCCAGTAATACAATCTCGTGTCTTGGTCATTTGGAAGGTCGGCTTTCTTCAGCTTCAACAGCTCTTCGGCCTCTTTCCGTGCAACATCCGTGAGAGGAGCCTGAATTCGGCCCAGGAAGTCAGTCACGGTCTTAGTAGAGCCAACTGTTTTCTCCGATGCTCTCAAATTAGCCCAGTTCCGGAAACCTAGTTGCCTACTGAGTGTGTCCCGTATGATGATGATATCCCGGTGCAGTGGAATGTTTGGAGATGCCCGATTCAGATTCGCAATGTACATATTCTTCCTCGTCATCTCGCTCTTGGCAAATCGCAGTACGGGAGTTGTATGAGGCGTCTTCGTTGTCACCCATAAGTTTCCGATCTGCTCTCCTTCGCCTTTCTGAAGCTTCTCAATGACATTTTTAGGAACCCCTTCAAGCTCCTCTAGACTGAACCATACACCGTTCTGATCCGAGTTCAAATTCTTCAGATACTGTCGAATGAGCTCATCCAAATGTAGCTTGTCTGCCCGAAACTTCTTCTTTGCGGCGGGAGATAATCCACAACCATTGCGAATGAATTCGGCGTGATGCTTCTGAAGGAAACGATACGTTTCTGGGTCCACGCTACCTTCGTCTGTTTTCTGCAGAACCGCATCTACGAGGCGAAACATGTCATCGCGGGTGAAAAGATCTGCGTTTAGTTGATCAAGAAGTCTATCACCGTCGTTTGAAGCATTGCGCATGGCTTCAGATGGGTTCGTTGATGCCGCAAAATGGATTACGGGTGCTTTCTCCCTGGTTATGTTATCATTATGCGCCACAGGAATGATAACATTGCTAATGGTGGCCTTTTCTGGCTTTACTCCTCGGAGAATGCGATCCCAGACTTTTCTGGTCATTTCAACGATGTTGTGGGCATCCTGTAGCAGTGATTGGGGAGTTGCATCCCAGGCCAGAGGCAGTTGGGGCGGGGTTCGGCGTGCCATGCTCGTTGTCGTTGGTGCTTTGTAACGACTCGCTATCATGATGGGATAGATATAGGAGCCATTTATATATCAAGGAATAGGACCATGAGGCATTTCATATCACCGAAAGCAGGATGGGAAGGTGTTATTTCCGCGGTAGTGCGCGGCCACGTTATCTCTTATTATGCCGGCTAGCGGCGCGGAGTCTGCAGGTTGGTCGGGTCTATTGCCATTTTGAACTCGCCGAAGAGCTTCGGATCCGAGTAGTCCAGGAGTCACTCGCCGGTCCGCGAAATCTTGGCAGCCGGATGTAGCGCCGGCGAATGACCATGTCCGGCATATGAAAGGGATTTATTCGATTTTAAGATTTACAGTCCATATTCCCAATTCGTATATGTACGAGGAAGTGGTCTGATCAATGCATTGCAACTTCATGCAGGTCGTTTGAGACATATTGTAGAATTATACGCGTGATATTTATTCACTCTTCTTCTGCGGTGCACCCTTTTTAGGCTCATTCTTTGAACCAGCCTCATTCTCATAATCACCCCCTTGCTTCTCATACTCCTTCGCGAGCTTGGTCGCCTATTTCAGATTAGACTGATAACAAACTGGGCGCGATTACTCAGCTACTGACCTTCCAGGCTGACCATTGCCCTTCGCCACCACCGCTCTTATTGGGCTCTTGTTTGATATCTGCATGGACTGTCAGAAAGTAAGCTGTGATCCCACAATGCAGGGCTACTAGCCTTCCTTGATCTGCTCTCGGAGCTCGGGGTCGGTAGGTTTTCCCTTGGAAGACGGCATGTTGGGTGTCCTTCGATGGCTACTGTGCTAATGAGGAATGTTTGGAGGAAACACTATGCCAACGAGGAGATTCATCTGATTGATATATATATCAGAGGACTGCAGGAGGGCGGACTATCAACCTAGTCATGAAGGAACACTGCGAGTAAATTCATGATCAGTGACCCAATCAATGACGATGAGATAGACGAATACTGATCTCTCGAAGCAAAACTGCGCTGGAATGAGACTAAAGCCTATAAAATACCGAGCGTGAGTACAGCGCGAAGGCTTAAAATTGAGCTACCTCCCGCCTAACCCGTACGGATGGAGCCGAGTCAATTACATCACCATTGGCTACTTCCCCAATTGGACTACCTATTCCAAGTGATAACAAGCGTAAACGTCTTAAAAAATAGTGCATGACGTGTCCAGGGTCCTCTCATATGGGAATCTTCTTCTTTCTCACACAAATGACAGCACGAGGATCTGGGCTTGATGCCATGCCCGACACAAAGTTCTTCGGCCTCTTTTCTTCACCTCCCGTGCCGTCAAGATCATTCACCAGCCTAAAGTCCCAATTGCGAAGGAATTCAATCAAAACGACCTTGACCAGGTATATCGCAAAGAATCGCCCTGGGCAGGCGTTTGGCCCATGACCAAAATTAAGCTGGTCGGGACTTGTAGTTACCGCTTGGTGTTTTGACTCGCGACCAGGAACTTCTCGCAACCGTGAGAAACGGAAGCCATCAAACACCTCGGGCCCGGGATTCCCTGTGTTTGCATTATAAGCTGTACTGTAAGTGGTCGTTTCTGGTGAATTGACGACAGCCCAGTTGGGCCACCCGAGCCGTGCCCCTTTAGGAATCTTCAAGCCGTTGGAAAAGACGACATCCTCGGTCGCTTGTCGATGCACGCTTGCTATGGATTGCGTCAATTCGCCAGCCTTTCTAAATACTTCGATTAAGACTCACACCAGCCGGAGGGATTCAGTCTTTGGCTCTCTTTGACAAAGCTGTCGAGTTTCCTTAATTTAGCGATCGTATCCTTCGCGATATATGATTTCCCATTTGCATCGAGACTTTCTCCGTCTTCCTTCAAAGCTGCTACTAGTTCTTCGCGTAAGGGCTGTATATATTGCGGTCGTGCAGCCAAATCAAGCAAGGCCTAAATCTCGGATCAGTAATAAATCCTATGTTACTGAACATCAGTCATACGTGGTAGACAGTCATTGTAGTGGTGTGCGTTGACGCAAATGAGATCTAGTCAGGAGCCTGTTAATCGCTGACACCAAAACACTCTGAGCACACGGACTCACCATCATTTGAGAAGCCGCCATCTCCGTCGCAGTTTTCTTTTCATCCGGAATATATTTCATAGCCCAAGACATAAATGTTCCGCGGGATCCGACTTCCACATCTTTGAGCTTTTCCTTGTCACCCGAGAGAACGTCGTTGACTAGCGGTGCCATCCACTCAGCCGCGTCTTCCATATCCTTCTGCACCTTCTTGACGGATGGTAGGAACCGCCCAATGAACGGCCGGAGTAAGGGGCTCCAAGCACCGTTTTCTCGTATGACAGCTATGGCATCTGTTGTGAAGCTTATGGACGCATTGAGCCACTTCTCGTCGCGATTCAAGGGAGAGCCAACAAAGATTCTTCCCGTAGCCATAGCAATAATACGCAGTAGCTTGAAATATATGGGCACTGTAGTCCAATCTTGAGGTTTTCCCAGCTCTTTATCGAAAGCAATGTGGGCCTCGTCCTGTAGTAAGCTCAACGAGCCACGGTTCATGCTCTTTGTCAGGTCGTGCCGAATGAGGGGAATTAGATCTCTTCTATCCTCGCCCAAATGCGTATACTGGCCTTGCAACATGCTGTAGACTTCTGCATTGAAGGAAAGTGCCGGCATATTCATGGCCTCTTTGTATAGGCTCATGGGCATTATGATACGTGGAGGCTTGATGGGGACGAGAAAGGGATCGTTCGGGTACTATCCATTGTTATGAGTACCTGTGTCCAGGCGATTTTGCGATCTTGTCGCTTCTCACCTTCTTAACTCCTTCTATGATAGCTGAGCGGAAATCTGTATCGCTAGGACTGCCGACCACGGGGAAATTCAGTTTCGGCGGCCGTGCCGCGAAGCTCGTTTTCGCGAGCCATGCAATTCCTAGAACAACAAGGACCGCTGCTACAAGCAGGTAAGTCATGTTGGAAGCCTGATCTTCACGTAGAAGATGCTAGGGGTGTGATATGATGATAGTCAAGATTCAGTGAACAGAGGGGTTGTGGGAATTTAAGTCTGGGACAGGTGTAAGCCTGGTCACCACGAATTCGGAAGTCATTGATTGGGTCATGGAACCAATGAGCTTGAAACTGAAATTGGCATGGCTGCTTATAGTGACATACTGGCGGAAATACTCTCTTGGTTTTAGGTTATTTTCTGCTGACATCTGTTTCGCGATTTCGGCGGGGACGAATCGCATTGTCTTGCGAGGTCAAGAAGGATTGTATACTACCTGCTAAAGTGACCTCTAACCTCGTAAAATCAGGGTATTTGTCCAGGGAGAGTTAGTGAATCTGACACCCCTGCCGCCGCCCACGCCGCACACCACTTGTTTGATAAGGCTGTTGATTGGTAGCGGCTGTTGGCGGGAAGATCCAGACCTCATTACATCACATATAATCTGACTTCGCCTTACCCGAATATGATTATTCCGATACAAGAGTGCAGCTCGGACAGTTTACAAGTTGTGCCACGTCAACGCGATATACGGCTAAAATCAGACAGGTCCCCTTTCGGATCGGCTCCTCGAAACCTAGTTGATAGAGATATGTTCTAGCTACTTCTATTTGTACAAATATTCTGGAACCACAGCTTATAAGTAGGAGAAAATTAAAGAGCTCTACAACGCATTTAAGATTCAGGGAAAGTGTTAAACATGTTCAACAGAAAGGGGCATATCAGCAGGCAATTGGTTAGAGCAGCTACACTAGCTGAGGGCTCAAAACCTATCGATAATAAAATGGTGGTTAGAGTGTTTCAGTTGGCTCAGGGAATGGCCCAAAGAGACATGCCAGTGCTCTGGACAAGGGATATATATTGAGAAGAGTTGTCGGATGTGTAATTTCTCAAGTGTGGGTGAAAATGACTTACTCCGTAAGAGGCATAGCCTACTTATACAAGTAAAGCATGGCCACAAAGTAATGGGTATTTGTGAGCCCGACTGATTGTGGATAGACACGACCAATCATTGCTGTATTTGACGCGATTTGTAATCCTTGAGACGGGCCCGTAAAGTGGTTTGATCGGAGCTGTGCCGCATCGTGTAAGTTTGATCCTGGAACTAGTTCTGTTTAGTTTCACATGAAATACCCACACCTGTGCCATACTTAAATATCCACGAAGGCGAATGACTACAATTTATCTTTTCTGACAGCTAAGTGACCATTTCTTGAGGGCCTTGGTGATTTGTTTGTTATAAAAGCATAGCGCAAGCTCGCTTTCGGTATCTCGGACTTGACGACCCTGTGTCTGAGAGGTTGGTGTCTACTAGCCACGTGAGACAAATACACAACACACAGCGCCATGGTAGCGACGGTTCTCATCACCGGTGCAAGTGGCTTAATTGGCTTTCGCATCTTACTCGCCGCACTCGAAGCTGGCCATAAGGTGCGGTACACTGCGCGCTCCCATGAGAAGGCACAATTAGTGGCATCCAACCCAGCTGTCCGAAAGCTCGCGCCAGGAGACCGGCTCGTCGCTGCCATCATCTCCGATCTGACAGCTGACGGTGCCTTTGACTCGGCGTTAGACGGCGTGACGCACGTCATCCACGCCGGCTCGCCCGTGCCAAAACCGACATTTGAGCCTATAACGGAAGTTTTTCAGCCCACCATTAAAATGGCGTCAGGGCTATTGCAATCTGCCATCAGATCTCCTAGCGTCCGGCGAGTTATCATCACCTCGTCCATTGTGGCCAACGCTGGCCTCATTCCCGGCCCGGATACGGTGACTGCCTCGACGCGTATTCCGCCATTAAACATGAATCCAGACATAAGCAGCTTCGGGAGTGCCATGGAGGGCTATGTCGCAGGGAAGATTGTTGAGATGCATAACACGGATGAGTTGGTCAGAACGTATAAGCCTCACTTCACCATCTCGCACGTTGTTCCTGGCTACGTCTTCGGGCGCAACGAGCTGGCCCTGGATGCTACTATGATGCGAACAAAGAACAGCTCTAACAACTTCCTAATGTTCGGTATGACGGGTGCCGAGCTTCCGTTTCCCATTCACGACGTCTTCGCTCACATCGACGATGTGGCCGAGACACACTTGCGAGTCACCTTTGACGAGGCATGCGTTGGTAAGGATTATGGCATTGCGACAAAAGTCGACTACGCCTCCATCTTTGACCATGTAGAGAAAGCCTTCCCAAAGGCCGTGGAGGCAGGCGTTTTTAAGAGAGGGACGGTACACGCGTTACCCACAGCTTATGACTCGAGTGAAACGCAAGCTCTCCTTGGTGGGAGAGTGAAAGGTTTCGAGAGCGCCGTGATTGATACTGCCGGACAATATCTAGAAACGCTAGGAATAGCTAAGGAGTGACGTTGCACTTGGCTGTGTGATTATATTGTCACAATTGGAGCTTGACTTCCGGGAAGCCTCAGGTTTAGAACTTATCGATCCTGTGAAAATCGCATTGTGCCGCTAACGCTTATTTTCGATGGAATAATCTCAACAAGATCTGATAGCTGTTGAGTGTCTATTCCATCGAGAAAGCGGCTGAGCTCTCGTCATTGTCAGCTAGATTATTTCTAGCAATACATCCAGCATGTCGAAATACATTGCCTCTGTCTAATTATGTCTAAATAGAGTGCCAAACGAAATATGAACCCTTCATGTCAATCTCTGGCAATTTGAGAAGCCAATATATTCATGATCAACATTTGTGTTTCTGGTAGAGGCCCAAACGTCAAGAAAATAACAGTCGTTGGCTTTCTCTGCCTACACTCTTGCTCCCAAGTTTACCCTAGGTCCTTTTTCAGTCTGGATCCAGTTAAGATATTTTTACCCATGTGATTGTCTACGACGCCGTCGATGACCAGTATATTGTCAAAAGTCTGTAGCTTCACGAAGGCTGGACCGAAGAAAGTTCAATCTGTGCTTTGGCATGTGCGGCGTGGTCAAACGGTTCCACCCCTCTCATCAACTTTGTTCTGAACCCATCATCGGCGAGAAGTGAAGGTTCCACGCAGCCTGGTTCCATGAAACTAGAAACGGTCTCTAGATTTTGGTGGCTGATGATGATTTTCACGTCCCGAGCAGGACAAATGTTTGGGTGCTCGGGGAGATATTTAATGGTATCACCCAGATCTGGAGGAATTGAACGAACTCACAGAAACGTTCACTGCTATTTTCCTCCAATCTTTCTCTCATCACTCATTTCCCCTTCGGTCTGTCTTTAGATCAAGCAGCACTCTACAACGAAAAGAAAAGATGTTATCCAACAGTCTCCTAGCAGTCACGGCAATTGCCGCATCAGCGACTCTTGGCTCAGCTCGTGTCTTCGAGATGAACAACTACGCCTGGTCGCACGATGCGGGCTGCGCCAGAATCGAGAACAAGTGCGACTTTCCCGTCACCATCCACTCAGTCGGCAAGGCCATCGAGGGACCATTCACGCTGGATTGTGGCGACGTCTACTCGGAGACGTTCCGAAAGGACCCCGTGGCTGGCGGTATCGCCATCAAGATCACTAAGCACAAGAACGATCTCTTCAAGGCTGGCAAGCCTCAGACGATTTTTGCCTACAATCTGGATGGAAATGAGGTCTGGTACGACCTGAGCAACGTCTTTGGTTGCCCGTTCGAGGGCTGCAAGCTCGTGGAGAGGAGCGAGAAGGAGAGCTGCCCGAAGATCGTCTTCCCCGATGGAGTTAACCCGGGCGGCAGCAACGTCAAGGTGTGCACTGCTAAGAAGGACGTTGAGCTCACGCTGTGCGCATAAAGTTGAAATGAGGCTTGGGCTGTGGACGAGCGTCGGACATGTGGGCTAACCTTGAAGTTTTGGCAACGGGGAAAAAATTCCTTGGTTTTGAACAATCTTCCAACTGTATTACCTGTAATGCAAAGTTTAATACGCCTCCTTGTAACGTCCATGGCTATGAGATGAAAATAGTGAAAACACGAGCTCATGTCAACCCCAAAGCCTAAATTGACTCGAATCTTGCTAAAATTGTGGCCCACCATGCTTCCTAACGTGTTATGCTCAGTCATGAACTGCAATGGGAAAGGCTATATTGAGAGGCATCATGCGTCTCGCAAGATGATTTTGGTTTGGATATCTATCTTTGCAAACAAAGATACTGTCGCTAAAATGAGCCAATGATGATGTGTTACGCCGACACCAATCATGAATTGAACTGTATTCAGCCCCTTCAGCCCCTGGTCAAACGCTAGACACCGCATACCAGCGAAGACAATGCACCATTAATCAATCTCAACACCATCATGTGGCTGATTGACGTCTCAACCCACAAACTACATGAGTTTCAAGGCGCAAAACTTCCTAAGTATACCATCCTCTCGCACACCTGGGGCGACGAGGAGGTCACCTTCCGCGACCTGGAAGAGCATGCCGACGAGGCAAAACTGAAGGCTGGATATGACAAGATAGTGCGCACATGCCGGCGCACTCGGCAAGATGGATATCGGTGGACATGGATAGACACGTGCTGCATTGATAAACGCAGCAGCGCTGAGCTGTCTGAAGCGACGCTGAAATGTGTTACGTGTACCTGGCGGACGTATTGGACACTGGAGAGGTCGACACTGGCGAACACGTGGACTTCTCTTTCAGTCGGTGGTTTCGCCGGGGATGGACGTTGCAGGAGTTGATCGCGCCGAAACATATCATCTTTTTCTCCTCTTCATGGATGGTGCTCGGCACTAAGAGAGCATTGGAAAAAGACACTGGGTTCCTGACTAGACTGAGCCGGATCACAGGCATCGAAGTGCGACTCCTCCAAGACCCGGGTCATTTGCGGAACTACTCGATCGCTCAGCGCATGTCCTGGATGGTTAAGCGGGACACAACGCGCAAGGAAGATCTTGCGTATTGCCTGATGGGCTTGTTCAATGTACACATGCCTATCTTGTACGGCGAGGGCATTCTCAAAGCCTTCACACGTCTGCAACTAGAGATTATTAGGACCAAGCCGGATGAGACTATCTTTGCTTGGCGTCGTGGCTCAAGCAACCACCCATTTGATGACGAGTGTGGCCTCCTGGCCAGATTGCCATCGGATTTCGGGGAGTCGGCGAGCATTGTTCGTCATACTCTTCCTCGGCTGGATGCATTGCGGAATTATAGCATGACGAACATCGGTTTGTCTATGGAAGCCTACCTACTGAGGCCCCCAACAGAGGGTACAGATAATGCGGTTGATAGCCAAGATGATTATCTGGTTCTACCCATTGGTGCTCGACTTTTGGATGGTACTCAGACCCAGGGCTCAAGTATCGGGCTGATTATGGTTAAGGTTCATCAACACCAGATGACGACCCGCAAAACATATCAACGCGTAGCCTACGACCGTTTCTACCTTGTGCCGGACGGTCAGTTTACTCTTCCCACAGAGCGGCCCGAACCAATTTATGTTCCGGAAGAGGGACAGTATATAATGCTTATGTAGAAGTAGCATTGGTTGAACGACAATGCCTTGTCGTGATCTACCCATTAGCTGCACTGGATGGACTGTATTTAATCATGTAGCTCCTGTATGCCTGTATAGAAAAAGGGTATATACACAGCGTTCGGTCGCTGAACTGATCTCAGCCTACAACGTAGTACTGCTCTTGATACATATCATAGCATCGTCCATAAACCCAGCGCCAGCAATGCAAACCCAAAGCTCGTCGTCGGTGGCGGCCGCACCGTCGAGCCCCAACTCCCCGTGCCGTTCACTTGCTTGTTCACCTCCTCTCCAAAGGCGCCAATGACATTGCCCCGTGGCCAGTACTCGCAGACGAGATACCAGCCCGAGGTGCCGCACAGCTTCCGGCCGCAGCCCACAGTCGTCGTGTTCTTCCAGACCAGCTGCGTAAAGTGGCCCGTCTTCTCGCTGAAGTCCGGGTCCTTGTAGTCGTACTCCTCCCGCTCGTCGCCCCACATCTCCACGCAGCCCTCGGCGTCGGAGCAGCCGATGGCGAGGTTCTCGCCGTAGGGCCCGCCCGAGTGCTTGAAGTCGCAGCCGTCCATGTCGTCGAGGTAGTCGGATGCGAAGTCCTCGAGCGTCTCGTTCCACCGTATCCACGAGGCATTGTGCTCGGTGCGGTAAAAGTTTGTGCTGTTGAGGATGGCGGAGGTGAATGTGTCGCCGTCGACGAACTGCGGCGCTGTGGAGGGTATCGACGGGGCGGCGGTTACGGTCACGGTGTCGGGGGAGGGAGCGGCGGCGACGAGCAGTGCTAAAGACAGAATGAGCCAAAAGGCTTGAGTTGATGATGGTTGAACCATTCGATCGTGTGTGAGGGCCCTAGCAAATGATTGAAGCTATACAGTAGTCATACAAGGTGTCTCAAGTGTCATCACAAGTCACAACTGAGGCATGAGGAGAGATGCGCAGCACACGGGAGGAATTGGAAACGAGTCCATTATGAATGCGAGATGAAGCCTCGCGATGATGCGCCATCAGTCAGCTGTTCTATTCGCCTACAGCAGGTTCGATCGGATCAGTTGGCAGCGGCAGGGTTCGTTCCATGATCTCGTTGTTGATCGCCGTCGATTGGATTGGAGGAAAAGTTGCCAAAAAGAGTGTGGCAGCTCGGAATGACCATGACGTAGGATGGTCCCCAGCGCTGATCTCAGCCAAGCTACAGTGAACCCCTTCCCGCCTAACCGACCCGTAAGGCCTGGAACCGCAACCCCCGCATTCCCAGGAAACCAGGAATAGCGTCATGTTTTTCCAGGGCCTTGAGCTAGCTAACGTTAGAGCTAATTTCCAGAGGCTCAGGATCATTCCGAGTCGTCAGTCTTGCAAACAGCCTCGAGTCTCCATCCGTCAGGGTCAACCACAAAAGCCGCATAGTAATTCGGTCCGTAATGGAGTCTCAGCCCTGGCTCACCATTGCTGCTACCACCGTGCTGCATTGCCGCCGCGTGGAAGTCTCTCACGGCTTGACGCGTCGGAGCGTTGAAGGCGATATGGCAGCCCGGGCCTGGCGTAGACGCCTGATTGCCATATTCGAAGAGGTTGATCAGCTCGTGGTCTTCATCCGGGCCGTAACCGAGTATACGCGGCGTCCGTTTCGCCAACGCTTCGCTATCATACACAAGTTTCAGCCCGAGAGGTGCCAGCACGGCTGTATAGAAAGTTTTGGACGCTACGTAGTCGCGAACGCCCATGGAAACGTGCCCAAGCGGGTTGCAGTGTGCGGCCATTTTTCAAGGGCCTGAGAGCAACCTCTGGGAGGCTCTGCTGTGCTACTCAATTTTATTTTCGAAGGATCGACTGATGCAAGAACTATTGGAAACGCTCATAAATCCGTCAAATAGCGCAAGGCATGGCTTGAATTGCGCACGTAGGTCAACTAACGTAGCGCGGGGTTCAGAGCATAGCATTAGGCGGTGTTCATAATCTCCAACATGAGGTGATTGAGAAACGCCCTAGGCATTCTATCAGGGCTTGAATAGGCTTGAGTGTAGAGGATTCGGTGGCTGATTTTGAGTGTTAGAAGACAATTGGCCGAGATTAAAGCGGCAGTGCTATGTTTCTTCGTTAGTTGAAACGGAGGATTTGCAGCTCTCTTCACAAGCCCAGTATTTAGGCATCCTTGAGAGCGAAACCTCCCCTCATGGTGTGATGTGACGAAATCGGAACGAAGGACCGGAGGTTCTGTACTGCATCTTACACTATCATGGTAATTTCGCGAAGATTGATCCGGGTCGTGTCAATTCTACTGCTCAGCGTTGATTTCCTTTTCACGACCGTATCTGCCCTGTCTCTTGGTGGCATTCGACAGACCAGGCTGCATGAGAAAGAACAAGCTGCCCTTACGGCAAGCTCTACGCCGATGCAATTCCGCAAATTCAGTGTAGGATTCAGTCTACAATCCTCTTTCTCAGCGGTTGCTGTGATTCTCGAATATGACGATGGCACGGAGGAGACAGTCGTCCGGACTCTCGATGGCGACGACAAGTATCGCAAGGTCATGGCTCACTTGTCGCTTTCTTCGTCACAGCATTTAGCGTAAGGCTTATGATTACATCACAGGTGTCATGCTAAAACATCTTCTAGACCACCATATGGCATGATGGACCAATATTTCCGAGACATACCACGAGTTATAGCCAGGCGTGCTCTAAAGAAGATTGGCCTCCCAGCATCGTCAGAAGTTGGTGTCCTTGGGAAAGCAGTCAAGAAGCTTCGAACCGAAATCGAGACAGAATTTGGGATCCACATATCTAACGCCGTCCTCACAGTTACACACCTCATCGCCTTTTACGAAGACGATGCCGAGGACCTATGCGAATATGCAGGCATCCACCATGTCACGCCGCATATCTACCTCCCCCCTCCCATTTGGGAGACATCGGCTGCCTATGCCGGATACGGCTTCGGTCTATGCGAGAATTACAAAAACGAGACTGAATGCAATGCCGAGTTTGGCAACAAGACCAAGATCATGGCGGTCCATTATAGTCGATCGGCAATGATGCTGTCATTGCCCACCCTCTATTCGGCAACACATCTATACGGCGAGAGTCCTTACGAAAGAAGAGGCAACTTCGGCCTCGGAAGTGACGCCATACGAAGATATCCAAATCCCGAGCAGTACTGGAAAGATGTTAGGGACTTGCTGCTGGACTTGATGAGGAGTTCATATTCCGTCGATCCCGAGTTCATAATTGTTACTGGCGACAACATGGTCCACGGAGTCTTCATGGCACATCTGACAGCGACGGTTCAAGAGTACCTGGGCTCGGTGCCTCCAATCTACAGCGACGGTGCCCTTATTGTGGCTGCAAAAGGAGCAGCTGAGATCAGGAGGCGCGCATCGTACCGTAAAAAGTATCCGTGGGAAGACTGGTCAAGTAATTCTGATCAGAACACTGGAATTAAGGTTTTGTGGTTTTCGATCTACAATTTCTTTCTTTATCTGGTCAGAGGTGTCTATTGATGTTTCTTCCTGAGAGCAAATGTACGGTTCACTTCTAGCCTCGTGAGTCTCAACCTTCCTTCAACAAACCTCTAAATAGCCAATATCTCTCACTATCTTAATTCGTGCTACTAAGCCAAGATTCTATGCCCTCCAATGACATCTGCTGTCACAGGATGACTCAAAGGGATGTCACGTGATTGTGTCGCATTGCTGCCTAGAAGGCTAAAGCTGCCACCAAATGAAGTAAGGATGCCTCGGGGGGATGGATAATAACAGATTATTATAGGGAGACTACGAAATGTTGGTAGTGGATCTGAACTCTAGCTCCACCTCCAACTGCTTCCTCCTGTTGTCTCTTTATTTGCCTACGAATCCCACTTCACTACTCAACCTCGACCGACGACCCGGATTTGATGCATCATCGTGGAATTTTCCATCTACGGACACTGAAGAGACCGAAACAACTTTACGCAGGCTTCAGATCATTTAAGAAGAATGACACGACTGTCTTCATTACATCCACATACATTCGGTCAGATCCAATTTAGCAGCATCCGCCAGCACCTGAAAATGACGAATGCGGAAACACCCAAAACGCCATGCACCAGGAAGTTCCCATCAGGTCTTATAATGATGAACAGCCTCAGTTCTACGTGGTTCATTCCGTGACCAGACCGATTGCTGGATCAGGCAGCATCCCATTTCACTCAAGCAACCGACTGCTTTTTTTCGACGCGCTGTGTGTGATGTGGGCAAGCGCAGCTAGGACTGTTTGAAGGATGAGTCAGCAGACCCGCTTAGTCATCCTTTCACTTCGTCCCGCCAATTGGCGATCACACCTCGCTGAACCACGACGACACTAGGAGAACGAAGCATAGGAGGATGAACTTACGTTGAGCATCCATCTTTGCCCGACCACATAGGTAATCATCATCATCTTGGCAGCAATCGCAGAACCGACCCTTGCTGTTGAGTGGCTCAAGGTCTGGCGTCCGAAGCCTGGGAATCTCAGGGGTTCTTGGCGGCGTGGGCAGGCTCGCTCCTTCCAGACCGTCAAACCCTAGGATGGCTCGTTTCCTAATTGGCTCTGCCTGTTGAGGAACTAGGGGCGGAAAGTGTTGGCGGGAGTTGCTCGTTCGTCTGGAAAGCCTCTCTGGAGTCACGTGCTGCACCTGATTTTCGAGACCGGGCGCCTTTGCCAGGTCAAAGGGAGAGCGTACCCTTTTCCTGGGTGGTATATGCTCCTCGGATGCTGGCACTGGTGTTGTTCTTCTTGTGAATCCTCTTCTTGATGGGCTGCTGTCGACACGCAAGCCATAGCCCAGGTCACGTGGAGCTCTGGGCCTTCCAGAGATCGAGTGATCTATTGCGGAGGGTAGTCCAGGCTTGGAAGACATTTGCCTTCTTCCTTCATGACGAGCATACTCGCGGCTTATCATTTGGGTGTCCATTCTGCGGGCGATGACAGGTTGGTGCTGCTGAGGTAGCTGTGGGAACGGCAGCACTATGGAAGTGTGCCTTAAGGGGCTCAAGTTGGTTCCGAAGGGTGCAACTCGATGAGACTAAGCTTCTCAAGAATTTTTAAGATGGTCTATTGCTGAATTCTGATGAATTGGGCATATGGAAGATGAAGGAGGGAGGTTATGGAAAAGGAGGGTAGGAGGGGGGACGGGCTTTTATATGGCTGGGCTGAGGGAGGAGATCCGACCTCGACTGGCCAATCATATAACAGAATTTCCTCCTACCCTGCACCCGCCCCTCGACCAACCCGCGTGCATCTTCCTCCCGAGCATGCCATCATTGCTTCTGCTTATATCTTCATCACTTCCCCATCCGTTCTATCTTTCTCACACACCACCGAGCCACCATGGGCAGGATGGTTCACCCAAGCTTCTCTTGTTTCTTCGTACCCCTGAATCACGTGGGCGTACAGAGTGATCATATCATGGCCACCCTCTACCTAGGACAGAGAATAGAGTCTCACTCTCAACGCGAGCATTGTTCAGTGCCTCATAGTCCAGGTCTTTCCTCCATTGAAAAAAAGTCTTCAGCTGCATCTCCATCACTCGAGATGGCGTGCAGACTTCTGATCTCGCTTCTTCGTGAGTAATTGTACCAGTCTGGTACAGTGCCGCAACCTTTTAATCGCGTTTATATCCCTAGATACTATGCTGGTGCCTTCCATAGATCCTCTCGCTCTTTAATTTCATGAATCTGGCGTTCATAGTGGAGGACAAGCATTTTTCTGAGTGGTCACTCCATGCTCTCCTAGATTAGCTTCAGAAGCGTGTGCTTCGTCTGTTTCATGTCTGGTCCACCACTCATCCCGGAGTGCGATGCCCATCCAACCCTCTCGTAAACTCTCGGCTCAGCATTGCCGTCGACTTCTCTAAGCACTAGATATGCCGTTTCTGTAATGGTGAGTCCAGGGTTGAGCTTGAAGCTGAACTCAGCATCTTCCGTCTTGCCTAGCACGGCACGTGTAGCAAGCGGCATCAAAGACAATACCTGTGATTCTTCCAACATGTGGTCCTCCCCATCTTTCCAATCCCGCCACCACATCAGTCCTTTGCCCTTTTTCAAGCCCCAGAGTTGTCGAGTAGGGATATCGCTTAACCAGGCATAACGCCCCCGCCACGACTTCTGCCATTTCCAACGCGTTTCTGACAATTGTGCCCTGATCAGAAGAAACCCGCTTCTCAATTGCCCATACGGATCGCTATCTTCCAATTCAATATCAGCGCCGTGAATTTGACAGAGTTGTTCCGAATAACCAAACGGGGCATATTCGACTCCGTCCATGACTGATGCCCACGACCAAGACGGCGCAATGTAGTCTGCAGGTTTACACCACTTTGGCCCACGGTGCGAACCGGGGATCAGAGGCATGCTTGGAAACTGGAAACTAGATCCATGTCGTATGAAGCGCCTGAGTTCTGGCCCGATTGCCCATGCTATATCGTTGATGAGACTTCCTTCCCAACAACCTGCCAGATATCGCCCGGTAATGACACCATGCTCTTCCTTCCTTGAGCGTGACATTTGCGCCAGCCCACTCAGAGCCGGTAGCCGATCTGTTTGCTTGGTGAGGCTGAGTCTACTGTAGGCGCGGACAAACGAGCGCCACTCGTGCTCAACTCTAAATACGCCTTCTTCTGCCTCACTGACGTCATTATGGTTCGCGAAATACGCTTCTCGACCTTTAGTCCAGGTAGATGCTTGGAGAACAGACAAGTTGAGGGACCCGCCGCATTCGCATTCCGAGCCACTATTACACTCGAAAAAGAGTTCCATATCCGTGACATGGAGCACACGTGGGCTGAGACGACGTTCTTGATAGACCCACGCCCGCGTCAGAAGTGGAAAGAAACGATCTTGGGGATATACACCATCAAGAATGTGAGGCACCTCCGGCCTAATGTAAACGCAGTAAGGCTTGCCCTCCCCATCCACTCCATGGTGTTTCATTGTGAGGTTGCGCACAGAGCAGCCGCCATCGTGGTCGGCGGCGCTCGTAGCAGCTAAGCAGACGAGACAACCACCGTAGTAAGCATTCATCTTTGCAGACTCACGCTTCCAGTCGTCCGCGCAATCCTGCATAATGCACAAAGAATCAATCCAGATGTATCGTATTTCTAACAAGCGGCACAGCGTGATGACATCGGTGTATGACTTTTGCAAACAGTCCCAAGGTATATTTTTCTGCAAGTCGGTATAGTTGTCCTGTGTCAGAGTCAAAGTTTGTGTCTGGCCCCAACAGTGACTAAAGCACGCGTAAGTGTCATGCTCGTCTGTAGTAGCAACCTTCAATTTCACTCCATCAGTAAAGTTGGTGCCAACATCAAGTATACGCGCAGGAAGTAGTCTTCTCCTGGTGTCTTGACATTTGTCGTGCTGCAAGATACACTTCCCGAGCCAACGCTTGGCTAACGAAATTGAGTTCCGTGAGGTCGAACCTCCAATCAACGGGCGTGCTGTCGCGACATTACAATACAACTCGGACAGATTTTGGTCGCCTATGTAGTTGATTAGCGATAGCTGTGCAATCGGGTACCCGATTCCTATACCTGTCCTACTGTACATGACACAAGAACGTTCAACTTTGTTCCCCAAATTTGTAGTGAATTTGACATTGAAAGCAGGCAAGCCAGGCGATCGTGCATATTCTGCATGGAAGCCGATCACAATACTGTCCCTTGCCACTTTTGCAGGTTGAGCAAGGTTTGGAACAAACTCCTCTATAATCCGCTCTGCTAAGATGCAAGTGGGGCAGTTTCTCTTTCGATTGCTCAGCTTGAGCTTCTCCATCGTAAGTTGGGCTACTCTAGAGATTCTATTTTGTTGAGGTCGAGGCCAGTCATCACACAAATTGCATTGTATTGGAGTTGGGACGGAAGACGGCTCGTTGTCCGTCGGATGAGCCGTTGTCGCTATTCGTTGCCGCATGAGTACTGGTGGTCGTAGAAGACTGGAATCATAAGTAGCAGAGAATACCAGCCGGCCATCATCATTCCCAATAAACGCGTCGAGATTAAGTGAATCTCGATGCCAGAGCCCATCGGAAGATCTCAGATCGGCACAAAGTATGTTACTGCTCTCGAGACGCACGCTGCTTGCAGAATGCCTAAAGTTTCGACCACCGACATCGAACTTGCCTTCATCATTGCCGATGTATTCGTTGAGATTTATATGTGATTTTTGCTTCGCGCCGTTTCTTCTGACACACCGGGCCTCCAGCAGACCATCGGGTGTCACATCAATAGCAGTCGAAGTCAACGAGAATGACATTTTGCGCGTTGTCTTTGTCGCCTTCAGTTTGTAGAAATGAAAAATTAGCTTGCAAATCACATCATATGAACCTAAAATCAACGTCTCAAGATCCTCCAAGGAGGCTGTGCAGAACGAGGTGTTGTTCATGAAACACCCTACGTTGCGTGATTACATCAGCCTAATGGCCCGCCAATTACAGTCCTAGAGCTTTGTACCAATGAGTTACTACCTCAATTTCAATTTAAATA